CATTTCAACATTCTAAGACGTTGAATTCCCAGTAGAGGAATCAAATAAAACCATACAATTTCATTACTTGATCCATTGTGTACAAGTTACTATGAAATAATAAAATACAAAAGAGGGGTTCGTGGGGTTGGATTTCTTCAGACCAGAGAAACAAGTAAGAGAATCAACGACAAGAAAACAGCAGAAGATCCCTTGAAAATAAAAGGTTTGATCATCGGAATTTGGAAAGAATACGATCCCGAGTAGTTGTTATAAGGAGAATAAAGAGGCATTGGAGGTGCATATTGACCGCACTGAACAGGAGCAGCCGGTGCCGGTGGACAGTTGCCTTGCGCCACCTGAGGTGGTGGCGGAGTGCCGTATGATTGGTATCCAGACGGCGGTGGCGGCTGAGGGTGGCAGGGATATTGACAAATGGTGCAGTTGTTACAACCATTTGGCGGTGATACTGTGCCATCTCCATAACTAGCATCATCTGGCTTCGCAGAATACAGAATTGAATTGAGCAACCAAACTGTTACAAAGAACAAGAGAATTGAAGAAAAAGACATCCTTAATTTCACAAACTGAAACGAAGTAAGAGAGACCCAAGAAGAATGAGAGAGAGATATATAGGATGCCTGTAATTATATATTTATATACACATTTTTAGGCCAGAAATCCTGTCTGCAATGCCATCTGTGCTAGAGGGCCGAAAATTTTGCCACATAGCAAGCAATGTGGCACTCGAAATGGAGTGACGGCTTTATTTTCAAGTAACAACGAAAAACCAAGTGGAGATTTGCATTGGCAATGAGATGGTTAGATCAGCAATTTTGGCCATTTTTGCATGTCATTGTGACTAAAAATGAATAAGTTTTGAAGGCCACCGATAGCACACGTGAACATGTCATGACAACCCCTCGTACCTTTGAAGACAGTCAAGGGAACCGGGTTATGGGATGGGCGGCTAACACAACTGGGGCAATCTTAGCATATTGAGAGAGACGATGAGCGTATGATTTAGCAACATGCAATCGAAGATTAAGAAAAGAAACAGGGTTCAAGAAGAGAAGAATTGAGGGCAAAGGAAAATCAATCTTTGTTCATAGTTGTCTATTACATTGAATAAACTCCAGTATTTATAGAACAAATAAACTAAAAGAAGTTAAAAAGGTAACAAACTATAATTGCATCAAAATATCATAACTGTTATATTAATATATTCTATCAAATCAAACTCCTGTTATAAAATCCTTATTAAAATCTATTTTTTAATTTCTATCTTGATCTTTAGCTAGTTATAGAAGGTGTATATATATGCAGAACTGAAAAAAATGGTTTATTGGACCCGATATCAGTGAGAGTGAGGCCGCTTTTAGTGGAAAATCTTGCTTATTATCAAT